TCTAAAAACCACATAAACATTATAAGAAAAAACTAAGTGACCAGGTGACCCTGTGTCACAAAGACTCACAAAGACTGTACAAATGACGAGCGAGTGTTCTTCAAAAGGGATAGGAACTCTCTTCAGCTCTAAATGATTTCAATAAAGTTTCTTGTTTTGAAAACCAACCACTTCACTCATGTTTCAAACGCTTTCAACTCATCATGTCCAAGTTGTCCAAAGTTAGGAAAACCAAGTCTTACTTGGAAATCAATCTGAAATTTCTTGAAGGTCAGGGTGATAATTGGAAACAATCAAAATGATTATCCAAGGATTAGGAAACCCCGAGAGATTTTCTTTATTTGATCTTTCTGATGATCTTTGTGCAAAAGAATCTATTATTTTTAAAAGAACCTCAAGAATAGATGGTCCTTTGGTGTGGTATCAAGATGATGAGGCTTTGGAAGCTAAAAACAATCTTTTTATAAAACAATTTATAAACGACAAACAAGTGAATTTTAAAATAACTAGTTTGTTTTTAAACCATTTTAACAAAACTAGCAAAATGATCCAAATACATGAACTAGAAATATAATAACAACACATAGGATGTTAAGAAGACAACTTTTGGAGCCTTTGATCCCGTTTGGAAATGAGGAGTTGATGAAGATAACAAAAACTCAAAATTAGAAATTTTCTACAATTTATCTATCATCAAGAATTCTTTGCAATGCTAGTATCCATAATGTATGAAGTACTTCGTAAGCCTTAAGTGTTTAACATAATTAAACACTAAAGAAGAAGCATAAATAAACACCACAACTTGCAACACTCTTCAAAAGAAAGCGACAAAGGAGGAAGAGAGATGCTTAAACTATGGATATAGTACCACCCGTTGTAGTTGTATTGTTAATGATAATTTTCTCCATTTGTTTTTCGGTTGATTATTGTTTCTGAGTTTACGAGTTTATCAGGTTTGTCCAAAGATCTATCAAGCTAAAAGTTCGATAGAAAAGTTAAAAGTTTTATTGACATTGGACATGGTTGGCTCTGATCGTTCTTGGTTGCAACCAGAACATACTTTACCCTATCTTGTCATTGTACTAAATATGGATATACGAAGTGGGGTGTTATAAGTTGGTATCAAAGACATAATTAAGTGTCGAGACCCAAACATATGCTTACATTGTGTGAGGCTTAAGTGAAAATACAAACATAATACGACATTGTAAGAAAAAAAGTAAAGACTACAATACCAACAAGAAACAAGTCCTAAACCAAGGTCCTAATTAGTCTATGTTGATTGCTTAAATTTCATTACCCATGCCTAGGGTTGACATTCTACTTCTATCATCTATATGGCTATTGTGGCTTACTTTAAGAAAACATGCACCTCTTTAACCAAAATAAGAAAGCATGTTCATATAATTTCTTACATATTTATACTTTGTCTCTAAATAAATAAATAAATATCATTAAAAGTAACTCAAATATCAACTACTTTCTCCACACAAAACACCTTCTTGTTGTCCCACATTATAAAACTCACTCATTGTAGTAATCCCAATCGCAACCCCAAACAAAGACGCCTTTGAAGATTTCAAAACCCTAACTTTTACAAAATCCCCAACTCTCGGATTCCTATCACCACGACATTCCACCCAATCCGGGACCTCCAAGTTTGCAAAAATTACCCTATGGCCCCTATCACTTTTCCCAATAAGCTCGGTCTCAGGAGCTCTTTTATTTGGTCCTTCAACTAACACAAGTTGAATACTACCAATTTGGGAGTCAAAACATTGACCTGTGCTTTCACGAAAAGCTTCAATGAGTTGTGTGAGTCTTTTTTGTTTGATTTCTTCAGGGACATTATCGGAATAATTTCTATGTGCATGAGTTTTCTCTCTCATGCTATATGCAAACATGTATGCCATGTCATAACCCACGGACTTAACTAGAGTTAAAGTGTCTTTGTGTTCTTCCTCTGTCTCATCACAGAACCCTACAAGAAATAGCAATGTACTTTCATTTATTTGTGTTGTATAATTTATAGCATATTAATTATATTTCTTATTATTAAATTAAAGAACTTTAAGATAATAGCGTAAATTAAAGGGTGAAATGTGTTTTATTTATTTGTGTGTTATTATAATTTGTAACATAATATTATCATTTCTTTCTATTATAGCATTGGACTTTTTTGATTTTTCACATGCAGAATAAAATTAGTCAACTTCAAGATAATTGAATAAAATAAAGGGTTAATATATTGGGGTTTTTTTTTTCCAGATTAAACCTTAACTTTATTTATTTTATTGAAAAAGATCGTTCATTTTTTTATTTTTTTTCGATTTGGCCCTTTTAGCAGTTTTTCACGAAAAAGTTTGTCAAATGTGAGGGCTTTTTCAGAAAAAAGAACAAAAAGTTGAGGGTTTTTTTTCGGAAAAAATAAGAGGATGAGGGTTCTATTGGAAAAAAAAAAGTTGAGGTTTAATCAAGAAAAAAAAAACAATATATGAGGTCTTTTATGATATTAACCCTAAAACAAAGGGCAAAATACAAGAAATAAAAATATTCTTTCATTTATTGATGGGGTTTTATGCAGAAAAGTCCAATTATTTTGGGATTTTCTTTTTGATAAAGTCCTAAAAAGAATTTGAACAGAAAAGTCCCGATTAATTAATATTTTGCCCAGTCTTTATTTTTATTTTAACAGGAAATGACAAATTATCGTGTAAAATTAAATAATCGGGACTTTTCTGTTTAAAAAAAAAATAGAACTTAATCAAAAATTTTCCCAAAATAATGGGACTTTTCTGCATAAAACCCTTTATTTATGCATCATTTTTTGTATTACAGCATTGTACTTCAAGCAATAGAAATATTCTTTCAAGAAATGAAAGTACAATGCCGTAATAAACAAATCAATGAAAACACATTGCTAATTCTTGCTTTTAACCCTTGAAAAACACAAAAATAGTAAAAAATGCCAAAAAGAATTAACAAAAAACACAAAAGTTTAAAGATTCTTACCACATATGAAATCACTTGTCAACCCAACATCAGGAATTATACTCCTTATTTTGTGCACAAGTTCTAAGTAAGCTTCTCTTGTATACCCTCTTCTCATTCTTTCAAGCATATTACTATTCCCAGATTGAGCAGGAAGATGAATATTTTTACAGATATTATGTCTATCCCTCATTATATATAACAATTCATCTGGAAAATCTTTAGGGTGTGGTGAAGTGTACCTAAACCTCATCTCAGGAAACTCCATTGAAAGCCTATCCAAAAGATCAGCAAATCTCAACCCTACTTTCTTCACCTTACACTTACTAGAAAATCCATCACTTAATTTCCAATTTACCCCTCCTTCAATCTCTTCTTCATCACCTCCTTCATCGTTGTAACTGTTGACATTTTGACCTAGAAGTGTCACCTCTTTCACTCCTTCCTTTTGAAGCTCTGCAACTTCTTTGACTATGGATTCAACAGGTCTTGACCTTTCTCTACCTCTTGTAAATGGCACGATGCAGAAAGAACACATGTTGTTGCAACCTCTCATTACAGAAACAAAAGCAGAGATGGAGTCTTTGGAGATTCGAACAGGGCTGATGTCAGCATAGGTTTCTTCTAAAGAGAGAAGAGTGTTGATACCTTTTTGACCATTTTCAACTTCTTCTAGTAAACGTGGTAAGTCCCTGTAAGCATCTGGTCCACAAACAACATCAACCATTTTGTCTGAATCTAGAATCTTGTCTTTTAACCTTTCTGCCATGCATCCGAGGACTACTACTTTTGGGGGGTGTAGAGAATGTGAGCGACCTGTGGCTACATTGCTTTTCCAATGGCGTTTTAAGAACCAGAAGTAGTTGAGTCTTTGCCATACTCTTTGTTCTGCGTTATCTCTGATAGCACAAGTGTTGATGAAGATGATCTCTGCACTTTCAGGTTCGGTTACAATTTCATCGTATCCGGCTTTTTTCATCACGGATAAGACGATTTCCATGTCGTTGACGTTCATTTGGCATCCGTAGGTTTCCTGATAGATGCGACCTCTTGGAAGGACTTCAGAGGATGGAACATCACTAGAAAGAGTAGAAGACAAGTAGTATATGAGTTCTAAAGGAAAGCTACATTTTGACTACGACTGTCATACATCTCAATTTTCAGTTTCGTAATTGATATGGATTCTAAACTGTGTTTGATTTCTAAGAAAATCCATATCAAATTTTGATCTCGAAGGTATCATAATAGATGTTTGGAGGAACGTAAGGAGTTGTAATTAACTAATTATATGGAATTGTTCAAAATTCATTCACTATGTTACAAGTAAATATCGTCAATCGAAATTGAAACGGAAAAAATTGGAATCCATATAGACTTACTCGGTTTCAGTAGCATCGGAAGCAGTGAGAGCAGTGGCTTGAGCTTGGGCGAGGAAATGGTGAAAGCTTGGGTTACTGTTCTTCTTATCATCATTGAATATGGAGTTAATTGAGAAACTTCTTGATAACTTGAGGGAGAAAGGCCTAATGAAACGGCGTTTTGGGGGTAGACGGGGTGAAATAATGAAGAATTGTTGGGGGTTTGAAGACGCGGAGGAGGAAATAATCCTGGGATTGAAGGAATGTCTATGAAGTTTGATGCGAAGGGCGGAGATAGATGAGAGAGATGCCGCCATGGAAAGCGAGTGTGTTTTCCGGTGAGGTTTGGATAGGGGAAGAACGTGGCTGCAACTGTAAGCCCTCGTATCCGCAGCCCGCAGGGATATGTCATAGACCGGCCCGACCCGACCCAACCCGACGCTACTTCACTTAATAGATTGTTTGACAAAATCTAAATTTTAACAACCTAACAAATAAAATGACAAGGGGTGACATTTTTAAGTATTATTGAATTGCTAAATTTTAAAATATAACGATATATTTTCTATGACTTAAAATAGTTCTTTATTCATTAATTATAACCAAATTTTCTCTTGGACAAGAGAACTTTTACACAATGTATTTATCAAAACTAGGATCTGGAACTTTCAAAGTCCAAACCGGTTGAAAAATGGTGATTTGTATCCCCTGTTACGTCGAGCCCATCATGTGAGGAGTAATCATAAAGCCAAACACTATTTTGAATGTATTATTTTTGAATTTGGATCTACTTTATGAAATATCACATCTCAGTAACTTTCCATAATAAAAACAATCAAATTAATATTGAAACTATTTGTGATGAATCATGACTTGTACCTTATTCTATAGTATAATGTGAGGTCAATTCCTTCACGAGGAGAGCAATCATAAAGACAAACAATAATTTAAGTGTGTTATTTTTTAATCCGAATCTATTTTATGAAATATAATAGATCTCAACCAGTAACTTCCCATGATAGAAACAATCCAAATCAGCGTGAAAACTTTTTGTGATGAATCATGACTTGTAAATTATTCTATAGTATAATATGATTTGAAAGATTGTGATTTAACATAATTTGGAATATTGCGTAAAAGATGGAGCAAATGAGTGATGACACAGAATAATTGAAAGATCAATCAAAAAAATACAACCCTAAAATGAGTATAGATGAGATATTTATTATTGTTATGTTTATAACAATGACAATTAAATTCCATATAAATGAATCAAGTAATTGTCTTTTACATATCAAGGATACTTAAAATAGTTTCTTTATTCATTAATTATAACCAAATTTTCTCTTGGACAAGAGAACTTTTACACAATGTATTTATCAAAACTAGGATCTAGAACTTTCAAAGTCCAAACCGGTTGAAAAATGGTGATTTGTATCCCCTGTTAGGTCGAGCCCATCATGTGAGGAGTAATCATAAAGCCAAACACTATTTTGAATGTATTATTTTTGAATTTGGATCTACTTTATGAAATATCACATCTCACTAACTTTCCATAATAAAAACAATCAAATTAATATTGAAACTATTTGTGATGAATCATGACTTGTACCTTATTCTATAGTATAATGTGAGGTCAATCCCTTCACGAGGAGAGCAATCATAAAGACAAACAATAATTTAAGTGTTATTTTTTAATCCGAATCTATTTTATGAAATATAACATCTCAACCAGTAACTTCCCATGATAGAAACAATCCAAATCAGCGTGAAAACTTTTTGTGATGAATCATGACTTGTAAATTATTCTATAGTATAATATGATTTGAAAGATTGTGATTTAACATAATTTGTAATATTGCGTAAAAGATGGAGCAAATGAGTGATGACACGGAATAATTGAAAGATCAATAAAAAAAAATACAACCCTAAAATGAGTAGAGATGAGATATTTATTATTGTTATGTTTATAACAATGACAATTTTAAAATTCCATATAAATGAATCAAGTAATCGTCTTTTACATATCAAGGATACTTAACTTCTACATCAACGCATTTCAGCTTTTGGAACAGGTTTAGGCCATATTTACAACAACGGACACCAAACTTTAACAAGTTATCCGTATACTAAGTGTAAGACTTATGTATTACATAAGTTCATTTAAAAAAAAACTAATTATGAAAATTCTAACCATTTGAAAAGTTTGAATTTATAAGAAAAATTAGAAAAATATTGAATTATTAAAATTAAAGTGTTTTTTCTCTTTTAATTTTAAACAAATAATTTTGATAAATAAACAAAGGAAACTAATGAAGTTTTAATTTAGATATGTTGAAATTATAATGAAAGTCAATTATTGAACTTGATATGCATTTATTATTACATGTATTGCAATTATTACATTTAAATATTATGTAAATTTTATAAAATAGAAAAAATCATAAAATGCTATGTGGAAAAATTTTAATTGAAAATAACCACAAAATGACATGTGACCAAATTAATGAGAGTATGATATGTGGTAAAAATATTTTCATTTATTAGAGTAGATGTATAAAATATACTTTAACGATTAAAATGAGATATTAATTGTTTGGTTGCAATTATTCATAGTTTTGAACTTTTGATATTTGAGTATTTTAGCTGCCAAATTTTTTACGTCGTGCAAAAATATACTTCAAGTTGTACATATATGAAAATCTTACAAGTAAAATGTCTTAAATTATAAGGAAATTTAGTAAACTAACCATTTTTTTAACATTATTTTAATAATAATAACCTTTATTTGAAAAATGAGTAGTCGATTCATTTCGGACGTGACTCTATATTCGATGAATAGGTAATGGATTTGATCGGGTAATGTGGTTCTCCCCTATAAATATCATTTTAATCCGTTTCAGATTTCATTTCAAAATCTCTCATTTTAGTTTACCCATTTCAGATTACCCTAGAGAGCATTTCGGATACCACTAAAACTGAAAATGTATTTCGATAGTGGTGATGGGATATAGTTTTTATATGTAAGTGTTTATTATGCTTACAATTATATGCATTTAGTTTAGATTATATGTTAAAACCTATATAATTTATGCATTTATATAAGTATTATTAGTTTCTTTGAATTTTATTGGTTTAAAAACAATTATATTATTATATGTAGGAGTATAATGCAGTTTTATCGTTACATAAAACTGATTTGAATATAGCGTGTTTCCCTTGTAGAATGATAGTCTGTACTTCCAGAAAATCCAATATTTTCTTTTAAATGAAAATGTAGTCTTAGATACCTTAAGATCAATATGTATAAGTACTGTACGGAAAAGTAGTATAGTGTAGTTTTATTATTTAAATAAAACTGATTGAAGATAGTGTAAGTTAGCCCCGTAAACCAAATGTATTGTTAATACCCCATGTGAGTTATTATAACCATGCTAACGACTAGTGGCCTGTTACGACGTTCTTCAGGCGTCAGAATGTTACGACGTTTGTCACCCCATACCTTCTGGTCTAACTGTAGCTAACAGTTTAGGTGCGGGATTGTCAGTCCCGTGTAGATCTATACACAAGTGTCATTCTCTCCCTACAAGAGTCTCTGATTATTATACAAACTTTAGTATGTACTCTAGAAAGTACGGTGAAGCCAAATGTCTTACAAAATTGTATCAACTGGTTTATGTATAGTGTAATGAAAACCCCTTTAAATTGAAAGTATTGCCCTTCCAATAGTGGTTATATAGTGTAAAAATAATTATACATTTAAATAACTATTTCTTCGTCCCGAAAGGAAAAATAGTGTGCATGCCCCATTAAATATATTTACCATAGTTTATAAAATATGTCGTTGAAATGAATAATCCCTTATAGGTGTCATTATCATTTTACCATGATAAAAATAATATGGATTGAAATAATTATATATGTATTTTAATATAATTATACACTTTTGGCTCAACATGTTACAAAAGTGTTAAAGTGTTATAAACTATTTTTATATAGTTTATTATGATAATCGAATTTGTACCCATTATATATATATATATATATATATATATATATATATCATTGTCAGAAAAATCATAGCGTATTTGCACAAAACTTTTTATGTAAACGTTCGCAAGTTTGGAGGTAAAACTGTTTCATGAATATAACATTTTTTGTATAACACGTAACAAAACATATTTAACCATTTAGTATTTTAACACAAGTTCTCTTGTGTTTTACTTCTATCCCCCCCCCCCCCCCCCCCCCCCGAAAACAATGAAAATATCGAAAAATGTGGGGGTATGAACTCACCTCAAGTGTGTTTGTGACTGGATAACGAGGTGAAGGTGATGATCTTCAAGTTAGAACACTTGAAGGTGGTTGTATCCTATGAGTTTTTAACACACGATAATGTGTGTAAATTAGTTGAATTAACATGAAATTGTTATATAAACGCTAGATTTAACAAGGAAACCTACAACAATTCCTAAGAATCAACTTGAAGAATTAGTTTCCTGGGAATGTTTGAAGATGTTTCTGGGAAAAATGTATGAAGATTTGAATATGTATGAACTCTTTATTGAGAGAAAAGTGAAGGAGTTTTAAAGACGTAAATAAGGATTTGTGAGGGGTGTTCTCGGCCTTCTATATATATGTAACAACCAGTCATTTTCGAATCGGTAAGAGTCTAAACCACATTGCAATCCTTGTTGTATATATATATTCTCTATTACCTTAAGGGAATGTTTATAAACTAATAATTAAATGTAGCTTAAATCCTAAGTTGATTTATGACATTATAAATTAATATAAGGCAAAAGTTTAAAGTTTAAACTATAAAGTATTACACTAAATAAAGGTTTTTGGCCAAGAATTCAAGAATAAAATGAGTTTTCGATCGAAGCATCCAAGAAACAATGAGCTTTCGGCCAAAGAATCTAATTCAAATAGAGTTTACGGTTGGAATAAATCAAGAACAAGGGTTTTCGGTCAAGTATGACCAAAATCACCCTTTAATGGGCCAAAAACTCAACCAAGGTCCATTAATGGACCGAAATACCAATACCTAATGCCCATTATGAACCGTAAACCACCCCTATATATTTAGTTTCAACCGTGAACCCAATTCATTTCTCAATTTCCCAACCATGAACACTTTCCATTTTGCTCTCAAGTATCATCCGTAAACAACATATATTCAAGAGATTTCTACCCAGATCTTCTTATTTTCACCAAGAACACCAAGAACATTCATCAATATCTTCAAATCTTCAAACTTCCACCCAAGCCCACCGAACACCCCCATTTTGCACACCGAAAACGCCTTGCAACACTTCAAATAATTCCAAATAATTATGTAAGTGTTCCTTACATAACTAAAGTGTTGTCTAACAATTTAATTATTATTTAATATATTATTTAAAATAATATCTTATTAATTTAAATACGACGTCGAATATAATTATTTTTAGGATAACGCTATTCGTACATACGCTAGCCGAGTATCGTCTCACAGTTCCGCTATCCAGACACAAACACGCACTAGAGGTGAGTTCATACCACTACGTTTTCATTATTTTTCAATGTATATAGGGCGGGGGGGGGGGGGGGGGGGGAGGGGAATACAAGTAAAACACAAGGGCTCTTGTATTATTATTCAAACGATTTCAAACCATTTGCAACTGTTTTAAATCGATTTATCGCTGCTTTTTATCAATATATATATATATATATATAAGGTTCAATAGACTTAGAATTGGCAATTACGTCTTAATTCCTATTCCTTGTCTGGTTGTGGGTTTAGGATAGAATTACTTATTCGACTGTCTTTTCACTCTTAATTATATATGATGGGAATATATATTAGTATAAAAATATTTCATTATATTGGTAACCCCTTTTGTAACATGTTGAGCAAAAGGGTATTTTTCACCGATCTTTTATTACCACCTTATACACACTGTTAAATTGCAAAGGTTTCCGTTCATTATAAAGTATACATATAAACTATAATAGGTATAATTTGTGAACCACTACACTATTTTGCTAAGTCAATAAACGAAACAAAAAATACATTTAAACTATAATATGTATAATTTGGGAAACACTACACTATTTTACAAGTTCAAAAACTCTATACAAAAACAAGTATATAAACTATAATAGGTATAGTTTATGGAACACTACTCTATTGCACTATTTCAAGGATATACTACTAAATAATTATTTAAGTATAATTATTTGACATTACAGAGTACACTACTACAAGGTAATACATACATATTCAAGTACAAGAGAACACTATAACGCTACACGTAAACTAGTTAATACATGGTTGTGAGACACTACTTCATTGTACCCTTCATGGCACATGTTCAAGTCCTATAAATTATAACCAGAATCTCCTGGAGGGAGAGCGTGAAATTTGTGTATAGATCTATACGGGGCTGACAATCCCGCACCTGAGCTGCTTGCAACAGCTAGGCCGGTAGGCCTGGGGTGACATCATTCTTCATCTTCATCTTCTCTTGCTCTGTTAGTCCTTGCTCTGTCTCCTTGTCACGATCAATACTTGCTCCAATTATTGATTTCCCAATTTAGGTGGTTGCGCAATTGAAAATGTTAGATCATGTTTTCCATGGTACCACTTATCCAGTTCATACTCATGCTCATCCGATCAAAATAACGCACAATCATCTCATCGCGAGAAGGTTCTCCTCCCATGGGTACATTTTGTGGCACCGGTTGATCTCTCTCTCTCTCTCTCTCTCTCTCTCTCCTCGTCCCCTCACATCCCTCCGTCCTCTTGGACGCGACTGCTGCTCGGGTTGTCCAAATTGCTCCCCATCATTATCGGCAGGAATACTCGAATGCGAGTCCATATTAACAATGACATACATTGAGTCCAAATATCCCAAAGAAAGATAGTCTCCTGCCTTGCATGTCAATGTACGGGTCAAATGAGGCCTCACGATACCATAAGACCTCGCCAAGCGAGTAACAAAATGTCCTCCTACAACAAGGCTCTTGGCTCGTGATATTACTGCCTTGCTACCCACGTAACTAGCAAGATGGTTTGGAATATTATAGAAAATTGTCAGTGCAATAATAGACCACAAAAAGAACAAGTTTAAACTTGTAACTTTGTCTCCGTGCTTCTTATGGTTGATGGAAAAGGTAACCAATCGATGAAGGAGTCGATGAATTAGTGACCGGATATGGCTCTCATGCGAGACACCCGAATGGAATGCCCCGTTCGCAATGGTAGTCCAAAAATCATAACCACTCACCCCCAATATATATATTCTCGAGTAGTCGTCCTAAAAAAGATATCCAAAATTGGAGACCTTGTTTCATTATTGTCATAAATACCCATCCTCCAAGAAAATTCTACTAAACTGCATTCCCGATATTATGGATCCACCGTGGCGTCGTCAAATGATACCGTCGCGAAAGACTCAACACATAATTCTTTAAAAACAGTCTTGTTAATAGCAAATACATTCTTCCACCCATTACAAGTGAAAGAAAACTCGTCCCCCGTAAATGTATTCATTAATATGGTGCCATCCTTTCCATGAGTCCGAGTTCCCCTAATTTGACCCAATCAATTCGAGGAGAAATAGCGAATTCTCTGTTATATAGCCAACCCATCTTGTTTTTGAAGTTTGTCACCACACTTTGAGGCATGTTGACCAGAAGTTGGTATAATGGGTGAAGGTCAAAGACGTTTCCGTGGAATTGTTCATTGGTTCTCCTTGAGGCCATTTTGTGCAAAATAGACAAGAAACAAACCCAAAGGAAGCAACAAAGATCAAAGACTTAGCAAAAAAATCACAGAATCCTGTTTGAACCGAGCTCACATCGTGATCTCGAAAGCTACATCATGGACCATGAATGAAGTTTGCCATCGGACCATAATCAAGCATCACAAAGCCAAAATTTTTCCACAGGTTTTGTATAATAACATTCTAATGTTCGAAAAATCACACATATAGTAGCTATTTCACTAAAAACCGACTTCAATTTCGGTATATTTCATTATTGACAAACCCTAGCCTAAAATGCATAAAATTAGCAATATTAAGAAGATTAGAGAGTGTGATCTTATCGAAACCGAAGAGAAAACACGAAATCGAGATAAGTTTGACGAAAAATTGCGGGAAATCTTAGCCAAAATCGAGTGTGGGGACCGAAACCTTGTTGTGCATTCATGTGTGAGTGGTAATAATTTAAAGTAACGGTCGAATGTTTGAAGTCAAAATACCCCCCCCCCCCCACCGGGTGTTTTTTATGGCTCACGTCGTGAGGTTAATCCTCACGTTGTGAGCTTTAAACCGTGTAAATATTAATGGAAAAAAATTATTTCTCACGTCGTGGTTTCGAGATTTTTACCAAAAACACTATTTTTTCTAAAAAAATAACCACTCTATAATCTTAACCCCACACTTGATTTTTTGTCCCATTTCCAAAAATTAAGATGACTTTGATGGTGATTTATCCTAAAACTTAATAGAAATGCAAAAACAAAAAACGAAAATACAAAAAAAAAAAAAAAAAAAACCGCAAACTGAGCTCGGGTTGCCACCCTAGAAGCGTTTCTTTATGTTGGAGTCATGAGCAGGACTCCATGCCACCCTACGTTGTATCGGTTGAGATCGGGATCTCCACTTGGACCTTTTGTTCCCTCCACATTTTCTTGTTCCCTCCAAAAGTCATTTCATCATTTCCCACTCGTAAGGTAAGCTTTGACTCGCGAATATCCACCAAAGCTCGTGCGGTATTGAGTAAAGGGCGTCCAATGATAATTGAGACATTTTTATCCTCCTTCATATCTAACATTACAAAATCAATTGGAAAAATAAATTTTCTAATTTTTACCAAAATGTCCTCAACTATGACTCGAAGATGAGTCACTGAACGATTAGTCATATGAATCGTCATTTTAGTAGCCTTTAATTCTTGAAAATTCTAAACTATATTAGGAGTGAACAAGACAACATAAATTCCTAATCTGGTCCAAACCGCTATCGGAATGTATCGTTACCAAATCGTCATCGTTTATGTTAATATGTGACAGTGCTCAGTACTCTAAAATCACGACATTCATGAGAGAGAGAGAGAGAGAGAGAGAGAGTTTATTTCGTAAATTTAGATAACCAAAACAAATAAATAAAGGAAAAAAGTAAATGATAAAATAGTATTTTCAAATTCGAACGGATCAAATCCACATCGATAATTTTACAAGTATGGACGGACTATACTAGGGGTGAACAAGACTATTGAATTTTTGATCCGAACCGACATTGTTTATGTTAATATGAGACGATATCTGGTTATCTAAAATCACGACATTCAAGATTCGAATCGGTACTGAAAATCGATGTCATACTTGGTATTCATACCATAATGAATATTAGTTCAGTTTGCGTACTACACAGTATCATTTTTAACCCATTTTAACACTCGATATGTAGTCTTAAATCGGTTACCTATAGGGGGCGTTGAGGGAAGGTAAAATAGACAATCGTATAGGACCCGTTTTTTATTATTATATATTTTTATTTAAAAATAAAAACTCATAATAACAATAACGGTCTATTTTTTTTTTTTTAATTTTTTTGGCTTATCCAGGGTTTGTTTTGATGTATTTGATTCCTCAGACCGGTTACCTGTTCAATACCGACTGAAAATTAGCATGAGACCAAATTTAATATAAAAAGGAAAAAGTATGGTCAACATTTGTTGAAAATGGGGCCGTTGACCAGAATGACGATAAGTTTGAATGCAGCAATTTTACGTTTGACTCCATTTTCCAGTGTTCTAACAGGAAACAAACGTCTCTCCACTTACAGACATGGAATGTATTAAGAAGATGGGTGACATAACTCACCATAGAATCAAGACCAATGGAATCTGGATGCACGTTGCAGAAAAAGGCGAAGGACCGGTAGTCCTCCTCCTCCATGGCTTCCCGGAGTTCTGGTTTTCATGGCGCCATCAGATCACTTACTTAACTAACCACGGTTACCGCGTGCTCGTACCTGACCTCCGCGGCTATGGCGATTCCGACGCTCCGCCCTCTCCCTCTTCCTACACCGTCTTCCACATCGTCGCTGACCTCATCGGCGTACTAGACCACTTCAATCAACAACAGGTATGTGTGCTTTAATGGCTATGAAGCTTTAATTAGCGTTTTAGGGTTGATTTAGTGTAAGTATGAATATCAGGTGTTTGTGGTGGGACACGATTGGGGAGCACACGCCGCCTGGCATCTTGGCCTTTTCCGGCCAGATCGGGTGAAAGGAATCGTTGCTCTCAGTGTTGTGTTCTCTGCTAGATCTCCAGACATCAGTCCGATTCAATCGTTAACCAAATCATTCGGAGATAGTTTCTATATGACCCAATTCCAGGTTAGCTTCTTCCCCTCACTCTGTGTTAAACATATGGAGATGAATTTTATAAAGTTTGAGAAATTAATACAGGAATCAGGAAGAGCAGAGAGGGCTTTTGCGAAATACGATTGCTTGACTCTAATGAAGAAGTTTTTGCTGATCAACCATGGCGATGTACTGGTATCACCTCCTGGAATGGAGATTATCGATCACATGGAAACTCCTTCATTGCCTCCATGGATTACAGAAGATGAGCTTCAAGTGTATGCAGATAAGTTTCAGGAGACTGGATTCACAGGAGGTTTAAATTACTATCGTGCTATAGATCTGTAAGACTCAAAACACAGATATTTGATTTGATTAAATTCCCTTCCTTTTTTTTGTTCTTTGTAATGGTATGAATTGATTTGCAGGAATTGGGAGCTGCAAGCGCCATGGCAAGGGGCTAAGATAAGAGTTCCATCGAAGCTGATTGTTGGGGACAAAGATATTGGATATGAAAGTTGGAAAAAAGCATACGTTCATGGAGATGTTATGAAAGGATTGATTCCTGGTGTTGAAGTTGTGATTATGGAAGGCCACCATTTTATTCAACTTGAGAAACATCAAGAGGTTTCTGATCACATCTTATCTTTCCTTAACAAACTTGCATAAGTTAGGGTTTTAGTGTCTCATAAACCCAATGCAAATATTGTTGGACTTTTCTTTCTCCAGTTTTTTGTTTTTATTTCACGAACACATTGTAAATTTTGAAGTAATCAAAAAGGCTCAACAGACGTGAAGTAGGAACTCACACATTTGGACTGCATATGTTGTTCATCATCCGGTGGTTTACAGTTAAAACCACAAAACCACACCTTATATTCGATTTCAGTTTTTTAGAAACTGCAATAGATAAGCTTGAAGATACACATGTTTCATGATTACCAAAATAAATTTTAATAAATTGATTGATAAATTTATTTATTCGAGTTTTTTATAAATAAAAATGTCAAAACTGGGTAATAATTTAGGGGTGAGCATGAACCGGGTTGGGTCAGTTTTGCGGTAAAAAATAACCCAAAACCGAAATGTTGTTTTTCAAAAAACTAGAACCCAACCCAAACCAAAACCAATGGGTTCGGTTTTTCGGTTCCCGGTTTAGTTTTCTGGTTTCGGGTTCAAGGAGTTTGGATGCCTTTGAGCCAAGTCAAGAATGAAACAATATTTTGATTCATTTTGTGAAGAAAAAACTTTCAATGTTTGCAACCCTAAAGAAAATGCACAAAATTGCAAGAATGGTGCATGCATGTCAAAACTATTATGTTTGGGCCAAATAAGTTTGGACTTGCAATGGTCTAAAAGTTTCATTTTGAGTAAATTACACAAATGGTCCTTATGGTTTGGGGTAATTTGCACGTTTGGTCCTTAACTTATATTTTTAATTCGGAAGGTCCCTACAGCTTGTTTTTGTTGCACGCTTGGTCCCTATCTTACCTAAAAAGATTATTTTGCCCTTGATTTTTTAATTTATTTGAATAAAGTAGGGTATGTAAGGTAAAGTAAGGTGAGGTGAAAGTGGGGTTAAGGGTATGTTTATTTAAATAAATTAAAAAATAAATGCCAAATAGTCTTTTTAGGTAAGACAGAGACCAAGCTTGCAACAAAAACAAACAGTAAGAACTTCCGAGTTAAAAAAATAAATTAGGGACCAAACATGCAAATTACCCAAACCATAGGGACCATTCGTGTAATTTACTCTTTCATTTTGTTGCGAGTTTGGTCCATTTTGTTTTGATTTTTTATAAAGTGATGATTTTGCCCTTGCTATTTTCTTTTTTCAGTTTTTTATTATAAAAATCTAAAAAAGAAAAAAAAAAAAAAAGAAAATACTCATCTCTCTCTCTCTCTCTCTCTCTCTCTCTCTCGTTTTAACCTCCGATGAAGGAAGGGAAGGAGGGATTGGCGATTTCACAAATTCTTCCTTGACTCACCTGAAAAACGGGCTTCGCTTCTTCGTGACTACTCAACCACCATATATCCACTTCAGTTGTCCGAGCCTGACCTCCTAGGTCAGACCATCGTACTTGGGTTTTTAGCCACCGTCGTTTAGAACTACAATGCCACTGTTATCGTCGTTCTTCTACAAGAGTCATCTTCTACACACCTAAAATCGATACACACAGACCAATTCAGAGAAGAAGAAGAGAGAAGGACATGATTGGCATTTGATTCAATCATTGGAAAGGTTGTAAAAATTTATAGGTTGTAAATCGTAATCACTTTCATCTGTAATCATAATCCCTTTCACCTGTAAATCGTAATCCCAAGCAGATTTATGACCTCGATTTGCTACTTAACTCTGGCATTCTCTGTCAGTCAATCAAGTATTTCACCAGATTGCATATCGGAGGAGTAAAGTTTAAGAGAAAGCGGGAAATTGTATCCCAATCCTAGCATCATCAAGCAAGTATTTTAGGGTTATGGTATGTCAAAGAAAAAATCATGCATCTATCTCCCAACCCCTCGATTCACCTCCTAAATTTTTTATTTTCGATTTGGGTTTTATAGGGCTGGCTAGTGTTAGTTTTTCCTTGTACTGATTTAGGGTATACAGTGTCTGCGATTCAGGGAGAGGGATAAAACGGGTCTAGTTTTCCCTCATCTCCATGTTTATTGAGTTGTTTGTGTGCTTGTGGGTTTGAGTTGGGCAGTTCATAGAAGAAATCGATTCAGGTGGTGGTGATGGCAGTTCTTCAGAAATCGATTTATGGGTTCGTGAATATGATGTTCTTGTTCTTGAACTCAAAAAAAAATGAGTGTTCTTTAGATTCATATTCATATTTGTGTGTATGTGTTTAGTTCTATTAGATTTCACATAATGATTTGAACAACATTGATAAAAGTGAGGGTTCTTTTTACAAATCCACTTCCAGATTTGTATTAATTTTGTTTGGAGAGAGAGAGAGAGAGAGAGAGAGAGAGAGAGAGAGAGAGAGAGAGAGAGAGAGAGAGAGAAAGAAAGAGAAAGAGAGAGAGAGAGAGAGAGAGAGAGAAAGAGAGAGAAAGTGAGAGAGAGAATTTTATTTTTGTTTTTGTTTTAATTGTTTTTTAATTACTGGTAATAAAACAAAAATGGAAAATTAAATTACAAGGGCATAATCGTTTTTACAAAAAAATTCAACCAAATTGGACCAACTTGCAAGTAAATGAAACTTTTGGACCATTGATGCTAGCCCAAACCGTTTTGCCCCAAACATGCTAGTTTTGACATACCAAAGGGATCATTCTTGCAATTTTGTCAAGAGAATAAGGTGATGGTGGGCCGATATGAAGAAAGTTAAGTGGAATTGGGTTGATGCTCAAAGTGGAGAGTTAAATTAAAAATCATAGTGGTTTAAGGGATTTATTATTTAAGAAACAAGAGAGTATAGTCTATTTTTCCAATTGGACACAAATCAAAATCAGTCACCGGTGTTTACTCCATTAGAAGTTGTTAAAAAGTATAGGGTTTATAGTGGAGATCTGGATACAAACTTGGATCGTGTGAACACTTTCCGAATTGATATTTATACCATCTACCTGGGTTACAAGAAATTTAGCTTAGGATGATCCAAGAGGACACTTACGATTCTAGGCACAAAAATCGTAAGCAAAATTGCTAGAATGATTATGTGAGTGTTTGAAGAAAAACGAGAGCTAAATTTTGTGTGTCACTTCTAAAGGAAGAGTCGTTTATATATAATAAACGAAATTAGGGTTTCATTAGGGTTGGATCGTCATCAGTTGCTTTGCAAGCAAGTCAGGGTAATCCGGATTTTAATGAGGATTTAGGGTTTCTAAAACTGACATATTTCGTTAGTTTTACCATAATCACCCTCAAGAATTCGATTTTCCCACTATGTTCCCATATGTATTTTTCGAAGAGGCAGTGCCCCAGCCAGGGGCTCTGCTCCTTGGACCACGTTAGGGGCACTGCCCCCGGACCCCAACATGTCATCGAACCGGCTTCTAATTCGATCTTATACATACATGCACCACACAAACCTCGTGTATATATATATATATATATATATATATATATATATATATATATATATTAGAGTACAAATTATGAAGCCCCTTAGCTCACATGTTAGTTCTAGTTACATAAAATGACATGGTGACACTAACAGAAGTGCCACGAGTACAAGCAACCAATTGAACTCGACACCCGTTATGATTGATTCGTCTATTGAATCTTTTGAAAACAGTCAAGTCAAGGAGTAAGCCTATCGATGTTCGATCATACCCTTGTGTGTGGGTTTTGATCCGTACATGATATATACGTTGAAACTCACCCTATAAAAGATAAACAAGTAGACTTGATGTTTGTTGGTGAAGAGTCTTCGACTTATCTAAAGGCAACAGGGATCGACAGTGGCTAGAAGTGATAAAAACTGAATTGGATTCAATCGAAATAAAATAAAGTACATACATTGACCCACTAGGTTGAAATGAGTATTTAAATTGAAAAGGGATGTAGACGGTAAGGTAACAAAACACAAAGCATGGTTCATCATGAAGGGATATGTGCAACAAAAGGCCAATTCTGACCTTGCTTGAGGGTGTCCATGATTTTGTAGTTTATTGTGATGCCTCGATCACGGTTTTGGGTGTAGTATTGATGCAACGGGGTCGCGTGATTGCTTACGCTTCGAGGTGGCTGAAACCTCATGAGGCAAATTTGGAGTTGGGGGCTGTGGTTTTCGCCCTCAAAATTTGGCGACATTACCTCTATGGGGTTCGTTGTATTATTTACATGAACCACAAGAGCCTGAGGTATTTGATGGATCAGCCAAACCTGAATATAAGGCAGCGTTGTTGGTTGGATGTGGTGAAAGATTATGACTGCGATATACCTTATCACCTGGGGAAGGCCAATGTAGTGGCCGATGCTCTCAACCGCAAAGCGGTCGTGGCTCCGATCAAAGATCTGTGCTTGAGGATGACCCTGGTTACTCCTTTGTTGGAACAGACTCGTGAGGCACAGATTAAAGCGATGAAAGAAGAGCATCGGAAGAGCAAGCGGATTGTGGTTCAAGTGGCTTCCTTCGATTATGATAGCCAAGGATTGTGGACCCTGCATCGGAGGGTCTGGGTTCCTTATTGGGGCGGTGCGTGCCAAATTCTGATGGAGGATGCTCACAAGTCGAGATTCTTCATTCATCCCGGGGCGACGAAGATGTATAGGGATCTTCGTCCTGATTATTGGTGGCCTTGCATGAAGTGAGATGTGACATGGTTTATGGAGCGGTGCTTGACTTGCAGGAAAGTCAAGGTTGAGCATCAGTGACCTCACGACAAGATGCAACCATTGGAGATTCCCGTTTGAAAATGGGAAGACATAACGATGGATTTTATCACGAAGCTTCCCAGGACCGCGCGCAGAGTGCATTCTATCTGGGTCATCGTGGATCAATTGACCAAGAGTGCGCATTTCATTCCGATCCAGGAGAGTTTTTCTGCAGAGAAATTGGTCGAGATTTATGTCTGGGAGGTGGTGACACGTCATGGGGTGCCAGTATCGGTGGTTTTAAACCGGGATATTCGTTTTATTTCCAGATTTTGGAAGCGGTTTGATGAAGAGATGAGCACTCGTCCCCATTTCATACAACATTTCATCCACAGACATATGGGCAAAGTGAGCGGCCGATTCAGACTTTTGAGGATATGCTGCGTGCATGTGTATTGAATTTTGGTGGGAGTTGGAATATATATCTTCCGTTAGCGGAATTTTCGTATAACAATAGTTATCACGCTAGCATTGATCGATCTCCTTTTGAGATGCTCTAAAGGGATTGACTTGAAGGTGATCTCATTATCGTAAAAGGAAACATAACGACAAGCATTCTTGGATGATGGTTCGTTCTAATGATCATGAGTGTGGTCATGGTGCTGCTGGAGGGTTGACAATGAAGCTTTATAAGAACCTGTGTCATTTGGTTTCGATTGAAAGTATATTGATAGAAGTGAAAGATTTGCAGCAATGGTGGTGGGCTTTCTCGAGCTACATGCGAGTTCTTGAGTAGAAATTACATGAAAAAATCGTGTGTTTGACTATTTCTTATTTCTAAAA